ACCATGACATTATGTAATCCTGCTTTATATCATCCTGTAGAGTAAGAAGGAGCAGAGAGGGGACAGAGGAGGCAAACACCAAAGACCTGGTTCCATATAAAAGCCTAAAAAACACACAAAGCCATGAGAGGTACAAATAAAATAAATTTGGCCTTTTGCTGCACAGAGCGTTATTTATTCATCGGCCTATTGAAGTAGGACAGTGCACATTAATAAACATTACTGTTAATGTGGCAGCAGAGCTATTTTTCATCCAGAGTCTCAGGGGAAATGTTACAAAGGCAAGCTAAAATAAAACATTAAAAACAAACAGCTTTGATGAAATATGAGCACGCAGAGCAGATAAAGAAGTTAACCCTTACAGTGCCGACCTGAGGCTGAAGTCCACATCATGTGGCTGGTCCAGGTCTTTGTGAACAACAGGAGCTGCTCGACTGTTAACAGCTCCATTTTTTATTTATTGACTATGAAGGTTAGTGTTCACTTTGTACTTGACCCCAAGATGTGAGAAACCATGGTTGACCTTGAGTTCATTCAGATTAAAAAGTGACTTTGAGTAAAATCATTTCAAGGCCCTTCATCAAGTTTTTTATGAGACTCTGTCAGCCTCAGACTGCAGGCACACAGCAGCGCTGCCCTTTACAGTATTATCTTAATCACAGATTTTATCTAAAAATAATCTGCATCTGATGTTGAATACAGTCACGAGTTAGGGCCCGTGTCCTCAGACGGCGCTCGTTACTGTCAGAGAGTCAGACGTTTTTGTTGATTTGCTCGCAGCGCTGTCAGATAAAAAGAGTTCAACTTTTAGAACAGCGGTGTCACTTCTCTCTCACTGACCAATCAGAATCAACAGGGGGGCGGGACTTCTGGTATCGGAGGAGACGCTGGTCTGACTGGTCTGTAGTACGTTTACAGTATTACCCACAGGAGATCCTTTGTTGAGTGCTAAGAAGGAAGCTAGGTCATACATCTCTGCAGAAAAAAAAAAAAAGAGCTAAAAATCAATCATGATGTAAATGTACGCTTTGTTGAGGATTATTTCCTCACTCACTTTTGCCGTCAGCCAGCCACTTTGTTCTGGCTCTACTTCAGCTCCTCCTCCTCCTCCTCCTGCTGCGCACTAAGGCTGGAGTCTAAATGATATTTGCCTGGTTGTACAACTTTATCTACTTATAGGTATATCCTGCAGTTTGATATTAGTGTGAGAAATTCTGTTTATTTGATGGTTTGCCCCTTGAGATGAACCATCTTGTTTTGGAGGGGGGGTCCAACACAAAAACAAAAACACAACAGTACAGTGTGATACAGACAGTCAAGCACAAAATACACACATTAACATAAAGGCTCTCAAACACCCATCCGCCCACGTATCCTTCCCGCAAAGCCACAGCACCCGTACAGAAAACCATCAGAGGTAGAAGCTCATTATGACATTTGCAATCAAGAAAACAAAAAGATATGATATTAAAGGGGCAAGAGGACATCACCATTAGAAGCAGCAACATGGTTTTGTGAGAAAAGGTAGCAGTGATTTCTTAAAAATGTGTAGTGAATTTATTGTTCTGATGTTTGTAGGTGGATTGTTCCAGTCAGAGGGAGCTTTGTAGTTGAATGCTCGTCTGCAGATTTCTTTATTGGTTTTGGGAACAAGAAAAAAGGCTGCTGAGTATGTCTTAAAGAATATGAGGAATTGTGTGGTGTTAAATGTTGTTTTAAATGAGAGGGAAAATTTAAGTGAATACTTTTGAAAATACATCGGAGCCAATGGTAATGTCTTCTTTATTAGTGCAGCCAAGTTTAAGATCATTTGAAGCAACAAATGTTTCAAGATTACCCGACACAGTGATGGCTGTTGAGTTTTATTATTCTCCTCATCTTAAAGCTGACACTGCATATATAAGATGAAGAAATTGTGTGGATCATTATGAAATTAAATATCATAAAATATCATATAAAAAACCATGGCGAGCAGAAAACCAGAAAAACAGAACTAATCCTTTAAATTGCCCTCCTGGTTTCAGAGAGTCCATCTTGGGAGTATTTCCAAATGTTTTTGGAGCGCTAACACCTTAAATACAAATCTGGCCTTCCAACTCACCTCCACAGTGTGCCGGCTGAAGAAAGAAACAAGCTGCTGCTCGTTTGGCTCTGTGGAGGAGTAATGCTTCAATCTTGTTAATATGTTAATAGTAAAGACATCAACGGAGCGGCTCAGAGTGAAGAAGAAAAACCTCTGCAGCTCCGCTCCTGCTGCATAATGAAGTTAGATGGTGCGAGGACTAAAGGTTGAGGAGATGCTGATCTGCTCTTCATCTGAACACCTGCTGGGAGAATACTTCCACGCGCTATCGTAGCCGAAGCTGATTCTGGGAGGGGATAACGCTGGAATTAAGTGCTGCGGGTTCAGGATGGCGCCTGAGCGAGGGATGATACAGCGAGGGTTTTTAACTCACCTGGATGCCCCCGGGCCCAACCCCTCCGATGAAAAGTAGAGGTACAGCTTGAGATAAAGACGGGATTAATTGGTATCATGGAGGAGAGGATGATGCACAGACCTCTGCCTCACCTCCGGTAATAGTCCTGGACCTCCTTCAGCGGAGGTGCTGCAGGATCACTATAAGAGGATTAGCCTTGTAAAGGAGGTCGAACCGGAGACCTCCGTGTCACCTAAAGTGTCTGGGCTTATTAATACTCAGACAGCTAATCGCCCTCTTTCCCCACTGCAAGGACAAGTGAGCCTGCACCGCATCCCATCAGAGAGGCGAGACTGCTGCAGCCATCAGCCGACCAAGGGAAGTCCCCGCCTGGAGATCGATGAGCGCCGCTTATTGCTTCTTCTTTGACACACAGCTGTGTTCTCACACGGGGAATCAACGAGGAATTGGACAAAACAGATATTTATTACGACCAAATGAGTATTCATGCTCCTTTTTTCCCTCTGATGGCAAATTTCACTTTCACACTTCCCCCTCGCTCTCACCATGGGAGCAGCCGCTTCAATCACAGCCTTTCACTCTCAGCGTCACGGCGGCAAATTGGGGGGTTAGAATGTAATACAAGTCTGAAAGGCACTAGTGCTTTATTTGACGCTGCATCCCAGCGGTCATCAGGTCAGCAATCATCCCCAGCTGGTAACAATACTCGGGGAAGAAGAAGGTTTTTTTGGAGATGCACTGAGTGGTAGGCATGATGAGTAAGCCCTGGTAAAGCCTCGGCTAGGCCCTGCTCGGCCTAGCTCTAATACTCCACCAGGGTTTTGGCTCGGCTTTCTGCAGGCTTAGGCGCCTGTGGGTGGGTTTTAAATATTGCAAGAGTTGGAAAAACTCTTGCGATCACTTAATCTCTCTGTGCAAACAATTGCACTCCTTCTGTCAGGAGGAACACACCACTAGCGTAAGAGTCGGAGAGGAAATGTAATGTTTTACACAACAACAGCAGCCTGAATATTTTATGAGTTTGTAAGGGCGGTTGTTATTCACAGATCATACTTACAAAAAAAAGTTATGCACAATAATTTGGAATCAAACGGTGAAACAAAGAGACATCTGGGAGATCTCAGAGCTGTTGGATGCAGCAAAAGAAAGAAGTCCTGCTACTCGGGTTTGAGGGGAATCAAGTGATGTCAAGTAAGATTTAAGGATCTGAGATTTACGGCTGGGTTGAGGATGGCACTCTGACTTTTCCCAAAGTTTAGACCTGCGCTTTGATACAATTTTGCATAACTTCATCATACAAATAGTAGCATGGGTTGATGTTGCATTCAAACTTCTTTTCTCTTTTTTTTGTTAGTCAACCCCTCAATTCTCAAACTTTCTTTAAAGAATAAACATGTGCCAGAAATGAAAAAGGTCGATCTAACCTCTGATATCATTTTCAGGAAGGTGTCTCATGATGTTTTGGGTCTCATTTCTCCTAACAGGAGGAGTTTGTCTGCGAGCCGCCCATGATCACCCGTCACACCTCCAAGATGTTTGTGATGGAGGGTCAGGAGGTCAGTCTGCGCTGCAAGTCCATCGGAGACCCCGAGCCGTCCACTCACTGGGTCAGTCCTGACGGGAAGCTGATCGGAAACACGTCCAGAACCGTCTGCTACGAGAACGGCTCTCTGGACATCCTGAAAGCTTCAGTGAAGGTACAGAAGGAGTTCTGAGGTTATGTGTTCAGATTTGTTTAGAAAACTTACTTTATATGAATTGCCTTTCCAACTTTGAAATTCAAACACCTAAACATTGTGAAAAGTCAGAGATATTTATCGAGAGAAATTGAAGTATATGCAGCATGACTGAAATGCATCATCAAGAAAAATACTTAACTGCCTGTGTCTGGAGGGAAAACAAGCAGAGAATGTAGTTAGCTTTTAGCCTGCAGCACAAAAATCTTAAGCTGTTTATGTTTCAAAACATCAAACTCATCAAAAGGTATTTCTCAGGTCGAAGTCCTCTGAAATGTTTTTACTGCAAAGTTTGTCACAGCAAAGGTGAACATGAATCCCGTATCCTGAGGTTTATTTGCACTTCTTTAGATATGAAATGGAAAGTTACCCTGGGCCATATGTATAAATTCAATCACTGACCCTGTCACTGTCGCTCTCTCTCTGTATCGTCAGATTGGTCCATACAGAGAGGTTAGCATTAGTATTAGCATTAGCATCGTGAAAGTTTTAATTGCAAACATATTGAATGTAGTTTTTGGATGTAAACTGAGCCCCACATTTTTGGGCTTTTTGCCTTTAATGACAGAAAAAGAGAATGTAGTAGGTAAGTCAGGAGAGAGCTCGGGGAATGACAGGGAGGGAGACGCAGGTCGGACTTGGGGGCGGCAGAGTCGGTTGTTTCTCAACAGGAATTTAGATCCCCAGCTCCTGCAGCCACGTGTTCGATGTAAACAAGTCCATTTACCATCGACTATTTACTTGAACCTGGGCCACCCACTTGGAGGACTATAGCCTCAGTTCTTGGTTTGCTATCTAACTGCGAGGCCATCAGCACCACCAACAAGCTTCAGAGTTTCCCAAAAACCATCAAAGTCTGTAACATCAGGGCGCCGGTGGCCTAGTGGTTGGCTCAGCATGTGCAGAGTCTGTGGTCCTCGTGCAAGCAATCCGCGTTCGGGTTCTGTCTGCGACTCCCTTCCTTCATATCATTCCATGCCAGCATACCAACAAAGAACCAAAAAATGATGCTGACTACTACGAGCACTCTGACTTCACAAAACATTCATGATTGGATCCAGAGTATTTTTAACACCTTCAGGCGAACTTCAGTGGTTTTAAAGTTCTGTAAAATAACTTCTTCATGGGATAAGTTTGAAGACTCCAAGAGCAAAATGTTTCTATAAATGTATAAAGTAATACACTGGATATTTTAAGAGAAGGAAAGATAGGTAGCTTGTCGAGTATTATAAGTTCCACACAGTATGACTCAAATCAAATCAAGGGTAAATGTTGGGCCTCCTCTTCTCTTTTCTGCTGATTTGTAGGATTCTGGAAAGTTCACATGCATAGCCTCAAACGCAGCTGGAGAGGCGACGGCTCCTGTCGAGTTAGTCGTCAACCCGTCGCCACACTACGACCCGAAGCTGGACCCGGACCCGGGGCCTTCGGACATCCCCACGTCTATAAAGTCGAACATCAGCGGAGGTCAGGCGCGCTCCGACCAGCAGAGGGTCAGCGTGTCCGATCTAACGTCCGGCTCGGCTACCATCAGATGGCCCCCGCAGAACCACATACCAGGGGTCCGCATGTACCAGATCCAGTACAACAGCTCCACAGACGATATACTCATATACAGGTAAGAGGAAGTGTGTGTGTTGGTCCAGAAGTGGACCAATGGCGTGCATGTGAGGGGTAGAGAACGAGCAGGGAGACAGGGAGGCGTCTGATTGGTTCATCAGATTGGTACCTCGTGGCAGACATTGACAAGTTTTTACAGACTTACAAACTGATACAGATGAAGGATTTTCTTTGTTCCTTTTTCAGAGAACATGAGTTATTCATTTCTCTCAGGACCTAAAGACAATTTACACCAAAATCTGAAAAAGTGGATCTGGAGGAAATGACCAACCCTGCCTTTAATGTGTTATTATAGCGTGCTCAGGTACAGTATGAAGAGTGTCCGAGTCGTGAGGTGGCTGAGGGACGATATTGGAGTGATGTCGGGGTGTTTCACTCGCTAAGGAAAAGAAAATTTGAAAACAGTCTCAGGTTGCTTTGCACACTCAGAGGTGGCAGCAAAGGGGAAGTAAGGTGTTACATATGGCAGCCATATTGGAGGTCTCCAGGTCACTCCATTAACAGCTGACTGTGTTCCTAACGATGTGTACAACATGCTGTTTCCTTACTGTGTGTGTGTGTGTGTGTGTGTGTGTGTGTGTGTGTGTGTGTGTGTGTGTGTGTTGAGTTTGCTAATTTGCATGGCAGATAGGTTTGTTTTATTTTCGTTTGTTTTTGTCTGTCGGTTAGGTTTATGTACATATATTTGTGCGTTTATACTTAGAAGGTGAAAAAAAAAACAAGTGCAGGAACTGTGTGTGTGTGTGTGTGTGTGTGTGTGTGTGTGTGTGTGTGTGTGTGTGTGTGTGTGTGTGTGTGTGTGTGTGTGTGTGTGTGTGTGTGTCCTTTCTCTCTGTCTTTACTCAGAGATCGTCCCTGTGTGGGTTGGTATCACCAAGGTCTTCCTCGCGTAGGAAGCTGTTTCAGGGGTTTTCAGGCTGTTTCAGGTTGTTGTTGTTTGTTTGTTTTTTGGAAGAGAGCCGCTCAGCGAGGAACGAAAGAAGAAGTGTAGACAGAAAATAAACGATGATTTGGCTGCCAAAACAACATCACAATTGTGGTTTCATCGTGATTGGAGCGGTTAAGTGATCATTTGCGGCTGAAACTATTTTTTTAGAAATCAAGCCAAAAATACGACAAAACCGTTTTTATAAAGGGAACATGTAGCTGACTAAAATTAAATCAAGCAAGTAAAAATAAAAGAATGAACAGAAAAGTTTGGAATTTTTCCAGATGTCTTTAACCTGCAGGCTGCAATTTAAACATCGGAGACAGATGCCTGAAATCAAACTACCTCCACTAAAAGTTGTTGTTTCTGTCGCTGACAGGCTCAGATTGTTCTTCTTAGTGTCTCACAACATACCAGGAGGGATCCCTGCAGAGATGGAGCTTTTTCTGTTGAAGAGGAAGAATCGTATTTGAAACAGAAACAGCCATTACACCGCCAGACTCCATTTATAAAAGCAGTCATTTTACCTCGCAGAACACGGGTTTGTGAGTTAATATTCTGTTCAACACTAAAGCAGCAGAAGACAAACAACTCTCCTAGGCTGCAAGGTAAAATGACTGATTTGTCAAGTCTGGTGCTTTAAGGGCAGACAGCGATGTGACGGCTGTGTTTGAATGAACAACAACAACAACAAAGATGTCAATCTCTGGGATTCTTTCTGTTAAGTTGTCAGACACTTAAAGTATCAATTTATGCATGTCAATGATGATGATAAGAACGTTTAGTAGAGATGATTTACCTCAGAGGACAACTCTGCAGCCATTGCAGTCTTTTTCACAAAACCTGTTACAACCAGTGTTGGGGTACTTACCCAATAATGTTTCACTGCTAGTTACATTACTTTTGCATTACTCAGTAACACCTCCTGAGATGCTCTGAAGCTTACACAAGTACACACAAATCCGTATTCTAAAAAAAGAAGTCAAACACAGGAGATCTTAACGATACAATCTTGTTCCTTCACGCAAAAAACCTCAAAGTGGTGTCCATATCTCTGAGCCGCAAAAAAAGTGTCCTGATTTGACACACTTTTCATTTGCATTTCCTCCTTCCTTTGAAGTTCCAATCTGTAAGGTATCGTTGTCATGATATTAAGAAAAACGTATGTTTTTTATGTTATGTATGTTTCTGAAAAAAGAAGTCAAGTGTGAACACCCCCTGAGGCCGTAAAAGTTCTGTGATATAGTCCCGGTGCCTGTCCATGCAGGGCTTTAAAAGTAAGAACAAGAATCTTGAATTGTATTCTAAAATTGATGACAAGCCAGTCTGAAGGAAAACATGAGCTTACTATCTGATCATTAAGGAAACATGCTATGTTGAAGTGCTGGCTTCTCTGACAGCAATGCAGCAGCCAGTATGTCCTCCTTCTAACTTTAGATTCTGCTCCTGAATGCTCTGGATTTGTTTGGACCAGAGAAGGTAGACACTTTTAAGACACCCCCCCTACACGGCCGTTTTGGACGCCCCTCAGTTTGTCAGATATGAGAGCAGTTATCAGGTCAACAGGTGTTGCAGTGATGGAAGCGGTCAAGAGAAGTGGTTCAGATAGAAGTGATTGTACCCGACCTAAAAAGCCTCTGCATGTTTCTAATAAGCTCCACGAGCAGAAACGTGCTCAAACTAGGATCAATATTGGAGATGCTTTTGAAAAATGGAGAGAGGTTAGAACACAGAAAGGTTTACAGACCCATGCAGAGCTGGATAAACACTGAAGCTTCAGAGTCCACCACATGGTGACCTGAGTGAACATCCACTCTAGAGAGGAGGGGGAGACAGCTATCTATGATGTTTATAATTTAGACTGCAGTACCCATTTTAAACACTAGGTGTTAGAGTTACATACTGCTCAGAGTGTGTGGAAAATGGAGAGTTGGACTCATCATCATTTCAGTGACACATTTTTCATTAAAAGGCTCATTTTTGCAGAGAGCTCGAGTTTCCCCAGAAGGAAGCTTCTGGTCTGTCTCCAAAACCCAGAAATCCTCCGGAGCAGCAGCTTGTTGACTTGATTTGCACATCCTAATCACCAGATGTCGATTTCAGAGCATGTTTCAGGGCTGGAGCTGCCAAGTGGACCCTCCATCAGCCCACGACACCCAGCGACCACTGGATGGTCCCATCAGCCACTTAGCCAGCTCCGTAACCATAGCAACGTCGTTCAGAATGCATAATTGAGTGCCATTACGGAGCATTTGGAGGGCCGACAGATGACGGGTTTGAAATGTGTCCACGGCCTCAATTCTCAATTTCAACTAAAAGAACCAAAAAGGGCTCAAGTGACCGTTTTGTCGTTTTGTAGCCTCTTAGCGTGAGGGAGCTGCGGGTGAAGAGCAGAAATAGATCATTGTGATTGATCCGTGGTGGGTGACCCTAATGGTTTTCCCCACGGCGGGGGAGGGTTTGTTTCTCTCAGCGGGATGTGAGACAGATGCAGCAGCACGGTGTCAGCTAATGACCCTCCTCCTCTTCAGAGCAGAGAAGACTTTATTTTTGTTTTTATCTCCACCCACCAGCGTGCGTTCGATGACCCCGTCCATCATCTGTACGATTTCAAGCAGACATGTTATCGTTCAGTCAGAGACATCGATCGTTTTAAAAACAGCTGTAATGTCAGGGCGTCTGTCTTCACATGAAAGACGTCAGTGCGGCACCGGTCCCCAAACCTTTAAATGTAACTGTACTTCTTTATTTTTCTGTCAGTGGAGTCTGGAGTTAAACTTCTTTAACACTGAGTATCCGTCTGATATAAATGGAGTTACAAATTCACACTTAACATTGGTTTAAAAACATTGATTGTTGACATTTTTCCAGCTTTGACAAACATTACACCACACCATCTTCCTGTTGGTTGTTATTGTCACATAGTTGACCTAAAACCTGTTGATTTGGGGGCGCTGGACAGCCTAGCAGTTATGTCATGCACCCAATGTACAGATATAGTCCTCAGTGCAGCGAGGAGCTAGCCATTGTTTTGAATCTGACCTCGGCCCTTTGCTGCATGTCATTCCCCCTCTCTCTCCTCCCAACATGTCCTGTCTCTCTTTAGCTTTCTTATCCAGCGAAAATACCCCACCCCAAACAAAAAAACAGAGGCCTTTGGTTTCAATTTTACATCATCAGTTGCATTCCCCTCAAAGCATAAAGAGAGTCGAGAGAGTCGAGCCAGAAGAATCAGCTGATGAGACGACTGCAGAGAATCTAACGTTACATTCAAGCTGCGTTCACGTGGATTCAGGAAGATGGTTGACATGTGAGAAGGGAAGACAACAAACGATTTAAATGTCTGTACACAAGACATCAGAACATAATGACAAAGGGAAAAAGCAATAAGACATCCAATAAAACCTTCAAGAAGTCGATTAAAAGTTGAGGTAAAACACTAAAAATAAAGAAGGAAAATGAACCATCCTGCCCTCATCCACTACATTTATATCTACTTTGATATCTTATGTCTGCATGAAACCCTGTTAAGGCAGCAGATCTTTTACAGGAATTGTAACACAGCATCATCTTCTATCCTGTAAAATGTCCAATGTAACTGGGAACATGGCGTCGTCATTATGTGGTAAAATGATGTCCCAGTGCAGCCTCTCCAGAGAGTCCTGCAGCGTTCCCATGTCTAGTTAAAGTTTGATTTGTACCAGAGAGAGTGAGTGGGGAATGACATGCTGGAAAGGACCCACAATCTGCCCGCTTCATGGACTTCAGCCTCCGTACATGAGGCAACTGCATTAACCACTAGGCTACCCGCGACCAAAAATCTAAATCTTATAGCTTTCCACAGCTTTCTAAACATATTTCACCCAAAATACAAAAAAACATGTGAGGGTTTGTTTTGGGGCTTTTTGAGTCAGAGACCAGGAGAGAGAGAGAGTGGGGAATGACATGCGGGAAAGGAGCCACATTTGGGATTCGAACCCGGGACGTCTGCTTGAAGGACTATAGCCTGTACGCTAACCACTATCCTACTGATGGCTCAAAATCAAAACCTTTTCAAGTCATTTTGATCT